CCCATCCTAATTCCTAAGAGGAAAAAAAAAGGAAAAAGAAAAAGAAAAAAAATCTGTTGCAGAAAATTAATGGCGGCTGAGCAGTCAACTTCCGGTCAAACCAAACACCCCCAATTCCAATTCCCAGTTCCCAATTCGCAATTCCCATTCCAATTTCGTCCGAATTACGGGATTTCCAGTCCAAATCCAACATCTCCATCTCCGATAACAATCCCAAATTTTTAATCTTAATCTCATTTGTTTAGTTGAAGCTCAGTTTAATTAAACCAAATCCCACCTCAACTCAACAACGATGAAATCAAATCAAATCTTCACCCTCCTTTTATCTCAGCAGCGTAATTCCTATTTCCTCCAACATTTTTCAATTTCAGATAAGATTTAAGAACCCCTCCACTGTACGGCCCGACACTCCACATTCCTCTGCTTCTTCTTCCTCAGATCCCTTCACAAACAGCACAGATTTTCAAATTCCAATCCTCCATCGCCATGTCTCTTCCATAGAACACGGAAGAAGAAAACCCAGTTGGGGGTTGTGGGAATTTTCTGTTTGGGCAATTCTGTTTTGCAAATCGATGGGTTGCGCCACTTCTAAGCACGACGATCTCCCCGCCGTCGCGCTCTGTCGCGAGCGCTGCGCTTTTCTCAACGAGGCGATTCGGTTCCGGGGCGCCTTCGCTGAGGCTCACGCCGCCTATATCCTCTCTCTCAAAGGGGTTGGGAAATCGCTGCACGAATTTATTGAACCGGGTTTTGTTTCTTCTGAATCCCCTTCTTCGCCTAAGCTCAAGCTTCCGCCTCAGAGGAAGGGCAACCCTGATCTCGAAGCTTCGAATTCTCCTCTCCATCGTTTATCTCACTCTAATTCCGGTTCCCATCTCCAGTTGAACTCCGATTCCGACGATGATTCCAGTTCCCTTCACCATTCGGACCACTCCTCGCCTCTGCACCACACCCACGACGATTATTTTGACTATGCCGATGGGAATCGCGGCGGTGGCGGTGGTGGTGGTGGGGGTTTTGTGCAGGTCCATTACATGATGAACAAGACGATGCCGTCGGTGGTGCATCAGCAGACGCCAGTCACCTCAGAGAGGGTTTATCATATGGGTGAATCATCTTCTTCCTCTAATTATTATTCTTATCCTTATTCGAATGCGGAATCGAACCCTTATCCGTACAATGGGTATCCACCCAATCATGGCGGT